TGTTTCAGCATGCTCTGTGTGTCTGTGTACCGTAGGGCCATTCCTCTGGAGAGGAGGATCCTGACCCTGCTGCAGTGGCTCCACCTCCCTGAATCCCACAGGTGAACAGATTTCCATTCCACTCTGTCTTCAGTCTTGCCTGGTTTTTTATAAAAACTGGTTTAGTTTTCTCCCAGAAGTCTGTCCTCCTGCTGCAGCGCTGAACAGAGATGCATCGCTTCCTTTTTTTTCCCTCCAGCTTTTATTATCATTCCACTGTCACAGTGACCACTAGGCCGCCACTCCCCCTGATGCTAATGTTGAACCCGTCTCTCATGTCTGCTCTGGGTGAATTTTAGTTCCAGTTCAGTGTTTCAGAACATGAACGCTCCAGAAACCAGTTCCTTCCAGTTCTTAATCCAATACAGGCAGATTAAACTTAAATGCTTTAAGCTTCAGTCTCTGCAGACCAGGAGGTGGAACCCTGCAGCAAAGACACCTTTGGTCAGAACGCCACATGTTCTGCTAAAACCCCCCAACCTGCATCTTGTTTCAGGCCCGACGTTTATGCCATGCACTCTGAGCAGCCGGACACCTATGGACACAAAGTGGGCCCAACCAGCACAGATGTAAGTGGACTTCCTCATCCTGTTGGTGCAGCGTGTTTGAACCTTCATGCTCCCCTCTGTGCTCCTCCAGTTGAACAATCCTCTGAGGATGGTCGACCGGATCGTGGGCCAGCTGATGGACGGACTCAAACAGATGAAACTGCACCGGTGTGTCAACATCATCCTGGTGGGAGACCACGGTACGGCGTTAGCTGTCGACCAGCCTGGACGAGCAGTCCAGAGGTGTGAGAGGGAGTTTCAGTGCAGAAGTCCAGGAAAAAGGGGGGGGGGGGTTCTGAAGTCTTACTGCCCTTAAATGATTTCAGAAAATCGGAGGAGCAAAAATAACCAGATTTCATGCTTCATCCTCAGCAGGGCTCAGTTTGGGATCACAAAAACCCTCAGGAGGGAGAAGCAACACAGAACAACACCTTACGGGTGAACAATGAGCGGATCAAGGGGGTGTTTCTATCTGTCTGGGTGTGGGTACCTGAGTGAGCAAAATCCACAAAGCTCCATCCTGGGGCCCCTGTCCTTGATAGCATGATGTAATGAATGTTCATTGAGCAGCGGCGCTCTAAAGGAGGGGGCGCTCTAAGGGTGGAGGCGTTCTAAGGGTGGGGGTGCTCTAAGTAAGGGGGAAGACGCTCTAAGGGTGGAGGCGTTCCAAGGGAGGGGGTGCTCTAAGGGAGGGGGCGCTCTAAGGGTGAAGGCGTTCCAAAGGGTGGGGGTGCTCTAAGGGA